TAAGATAAGATAAGATAAGATAAGATAAGATAAGATAAGATAAGATAAGATAATCCTTTATTATTCCCACAGTGGGGAAATTTGCAGTATTACAGCAGCAAAGTGCACAGTACAAAGAAAGAAAAACTGCAAAATGACAATATCAAGTACATAAAAGATAAATAATATAATAACATGTACAATCAGATATTTAAATATAACAAAAAAACCCATAGGAGTTTCCAACACTGTTGAAAATAAAGTTCCAGAGCTGCGAACAAAATGACTGACCTGCATCACCACTGACCTTTAAATCACACTACAGATACACTAATATCTAAGGCTCTCGCCACTGACTAAACCCTTTGTTGCGTGCATATAAGTGACCTTAGTGACACCTTAGTGCACCTGCAGGTTCATGTCAGCCCCCAAAATCCCAGCATCCTCTGTGCAGATGCTCCAAACCAGTCAAAGGACATAATCCCTCACTGACTTTTCACTGGTGAATTATGTTTGCTGGTCTGCATGGCTGCCCTCTGCCTCGGTGTGCTACCCATGCTCCAATAGTGACACAACAACATACTGAGGCTTTAAAGTGTGCAAAACCACTGGTGTGATCTTCTACAGATAACTAGAGATAGAACACCCTCACCTGTGGCCACACCTCCTCCAGGGAGGTAAAGGAGGTGACGTATGAGTGAGCCATGGTGCCTGCGACCGGGATCCCGAAAAGGAATCCAGCCTGAACGTTACTGGTGAGATCAAACCCTGGAAGACACATTTCACTATCAGTCAGTCTGTGTGTGTGTGTGTGTGTGTGTGTGGGTGTGTGTGTCATCACAGGGCTGTTGCTGCAGCCCCAGGCAACACACACCTGAATCAAGTTTATTATGGAGCATATAATAAAATCATCTTCTGCACATCACCTGTGTTGGGTCTTGTTCATTTGTCATATGTTGTAATTTTCAAGTCTACGACATTCCTCTTATGATACTGTAACGATCGGAAGAATGTCACACTGTCACACATCAGTCCTTCTGTCAAATTCCTCTCATGAAAACTGAGGTTAATTAGATTAATAAGAGTCCCTGAGGTTGGTAAAGGCTCATTCAAATGAAATACGTATGTAACCATCTTGACATAGTAACTGTCTGAACATGTCTGACAGATTACACCAGCACTCACCTCCGATGTGTGTGTATCGGGAGGCGGTGAGCCCTCCATCTGGCCCCTGAGCCCGTCTGAGGCCCATCTCCAGCAGCTTCCTCCTGGGACCGGCCGCCAGGCGGAAACGGGCAGCGTTACTACACACCAGACTGACAACAGAGAAGAAGAACATGACTCAGCAAGGCTAAGATGGGACGTATTTTTCTTACCTATTTAATTTGGTTCTTTCATTTCGTTATATAAATTCTGTTTCTATATATTCATTGACCTCTTTAAATATGTTCTTAAACCCCAGATTGTTTCTTTAAATAACATTACACACTGAATAACATATACTGTACATACATTACATAAACTGAAACTAAAATTTCAGCATGAGAAGTTGTGTATGTCATGGCTGCTTCATTCCATGAAATACAAATAATTCAGATGTGTTGTGCTTTTTTTTTTTATTACACGTTTCCTCATAATTCAACTACACATTGGATAGTTTTGAATCTCAAACAGACTTCTGCACAAAATATCTTTGCAAATGGCCCACGGGTGAACCTAGCTGAGGTAAAGAGGTTACTAAATTTAAACATGCTTGATTACATGGAAAGGACATGACCTGGGTGACCTTCACAGTAGCTGTTGGCTTTGAAATACCAAACATACAGCACTGAAACGACTCTTCAGTTCATCAGTTAGTCCAGGTTTTTTCTTTATTAAAGATTATTTTTATGGCATGGGCAGAATACAGTACAGCGAGAAACAGCTGGACAGATGTCTCAATCAAATCTCAAAAAAGAAAATCAGTTAATGAGAAAAAACAACACATAAATTATATATAGTAAATATATATAGTAAATGTAATTTATTGGTTGCAGCGCGTGCGTGTGTGTGCGTGTGTGTGTGTGTGTGGTTACCTGGCATAGTTAACCAGACACAGTAAACTGGTCTCCAGCAACTGAACCACAGCCAGTGGACCTGCCACCTCCATCAGAGGCACCTGCAGATGTTTTAAGACATGAACCACAAGTCAAACACAAGTCTGACCCCGACTGTGACCTTTGACCCCTCAGTTTCACCCTGAAGCCCTCACAGCTCACCCTGGCAAACACCACGGTGCCCTCTGGGACGGAGCGGAGCGTGACGCCCGAACAGTCCAGGCCTCGCAGAAACTGGAAGAAGGCGGGGTCAGTGGCCGGAGGCAGGACGGAGCGCAGGAACTCCACATCTGGATCCAGGAAGAGATGGCGTTAAACACAACATTTGGACCACTGACAGTAAGACCAACAACAGAGGGCATCCTTCATCCTAAAACTCCCTCCACACGTGCTCTTACGCAAGCGCATGTGTCCTTTATGTGCCCTCCCTCCCTCACATGTCCTGTCTCAACACACACACACACACACGCACACGCACCCACCCACACACACACACACACACACACACACACACACACACACAATTACAATAATAGAGCTAAATCTAATAACTTTCTCTACAGCTAATCTAATCCAGTATGTGCTACGATGCCTCAGTGGTGAGTTGAAGGTCAGACTAAACATGTTTGACAGCTTGTAACTTGTACAGTTGAGCACATAAATTAAATATAATACAATCATTTGTCATTTAATTGAGTATTTTATGCGATTTTAAACTATATTCTACCAGAAGTGTTAAGATTCCTTACTTACAGAAAGGTTTCAAAACAACAATGTAAAAATGCTCCAGGTCCTTCATTCAAATCCTATTTAAACTATCTAAAGTTAAAGTTAAAGTACCCATGATGCATCAGTGTGTAAGAAGCATTTTAATGTAGTCGAAGTGGAGTTCATTTTAACAATGTTATATACTGTTAGGCGGTTTCATGTTTTTACTGCACTCCATGTTTGACACAGCTGTAGCTACAGGTTACTTTGAAGATTAAAATTTCATATACAAATCATGATCAGTTTATATTATATGATCAAATTATTTGTTAAAGATTAAACTACTCAGCTGTTTATGAAGCAGCTACAGCAGCTCAACCAACTAGTCATTTCAGTTTTGAACTAAATGAATTCAGCTGGAAACATTGTGGTACTTAAACCAACTTGGTATTTACTACTACAGACTGAAAATTTAAAACTGTATGCCACTATGTGTTTCCGATGGTGGAAAGTCACTAAGTATATTTACTTAAGTACTGAACTTAAGTATATCTTATGCAACTTCAGACTTCACTGCATTTCAGAGGGGATTTTCACTCCCCTTCACTTATTTCACAGATTAAGATTTAACATTAATAACATATGATTATATTAAAATATATGACGCACGGTTACAGATTAAACCAACTTCATATAAAACACCATCAACAACTTTAAAATGTTTCTTCCATCAGTAAAGAACCAGCCAATGATATAATACATGTTAAGGAGAGGCAGCTAATACTGTTACACAACTCTGTAAGTAATTCATTTTTAATTATCTGTTATCTATAACCGTTTAAAATCACTGTAAAAAAACTACTTTTATATTGTTTTTAAACATGATCTGGAATAACCAGTTCCACAAGCGCAGGACAAATCTGGTTTCATGACAGCTTTGTTGCATGCAGCTGCTTCATGTACTGATCTTCCTGTGTGCTAAAGTTCAAAGATCAAAATTCCCTGAAAATACCGCAGCCGCATTCACGTTCTCTCACTGAAAGCCTCACGGGGGCTGCACCGTTAAATATTGCGCAACCGGATCGGTATGCGTAAAAGTTAGGAGTTTAGAGGAGAGAGAAGTCACTCAGATTGGATGAATGACACCACTGTCATTAATGACATTTGGTAATTGTTGTAATAATACAGATGTTAACTTTCTCACCTTCGTCTGTGAAGCGAAAGCTGCGCAGGAACAGCTGACAGTCGTGCAGACCGGCGAACAACGAGAAGCCGCCGCCGAACGGATTGTGCCGGAAGAAGAGCTCGAACACGGCGGGCTCCTGGTGGCGGCCGGCCCGCCAATATGCGTACGCCATGGTGAACTGGTACATGTCGGTGAGAAGCGGGGGGACTCGCTCTCGGATAGACCGCTCCATGGCCCCGCATGTGTTGTTGGACGGAGCTGCCATGTTATCCAAGTCCTGACTCCAGGTTCACTGGTGCCGAGATCTCTGGGACTTGGAGTTCTCCAAAGACCCGCTGACTCCTTCACCTAATGAGAGGGAGGCAGACTCAGAGCGGAGCCTCTGACAAATAACCCAAAGGCAGGATGAGGCGCTGCAGCTTCAGTTTCAGGGACAATTATTTATCTATAAAGCTCCACAGAATTTTGTTTAAAATTAATTACATTAATTAATGACATCTTTGCCCTTTTTCCTGGTAGTTTTCCATGTTGCCTAATTACGTCCTGACAGAGGTGAAAGTGATCAGATCTTTAGTCAACAATGTCAAAATGATCCATTACAGCCAAATTTAATTTAATGAATCCACAAAAACATTGGCAACAAATAAGAATTTATATTAAAATAGAGAGTAGTCCAAATAAATGCCCCATTACAGACTGTTAATGTAAAATGCATGAGATAGTTTTAACTACAGGAGCCATCACAGCCTCGTGTATTTATATTTGTTGAGCTGATGCATCATTTTCACCTGAAATGTAACTTCTAAATGTGCCAGACAAATATAGTGTAATAAAATATAGAGTAATAACAGTATAAAGTTGCACAAAATGGAAATAATTAAAGTACCTGTATCTTAAAATTGCAAAGTACTGTATTTATTATATAGTATGTATTATACTGTATGTAAATGTACTTTTCCTTTCCTCTCTGCAGAACAATCTGTTGTGAAATTTCCTGTCAACGATAATGACATAACAAAGCAGAAAAGACATTCAGAGACATTCTTGTTTATTCAAGACAGAATTTGCCAAAATCTTCATTAGTATATTTGTAATAAGGTTGTTGGTATTTGCCAAAGCACATTCAAGTTTTCAAAAATACTCTTGCTTATCACTTTTAAATAGATTTTTCTAGATTCAAATTTTAGTATTTTCTATATGCAAGCACACCGGTGTATCAGTTTTGTATATCTGAGTATGTATTTGCTGCAGCTATGGAGTTGTCTTTATAAATATTGCTGTCTTTGTGTGGATTATTTTGGATAAGATTTTTAGGTATTTAATATTTACCCATCTGTGGCTAATGTAGCAAATAACTGCTTGGTTCTCTTCAGCAAATTCAAAAAGATAACTCATATTCCCCTTTTAATGAAGACTGTGATTCTGAATATTCTGAGTGTTGTTAGCAGCAGCTTTCAGCCTCTTATTCTCATCTCTGTCTCAACCCCTGTAGCTTTAGGCCAGTAGTTCCCAACCCAAAGCGGTCACATTATAAATCTGAGTGGTTGCAAAACAGTTTATTTTATTCAGATTTTTCCCTCATCTTTGCTTCTTGCTGGTGACATACTGTATTGTTTTATATTTTCACGATTCTAACTATGATTTAAATGAATATAGGGAGAAAATAACTGTTTCACTGCAACATGTGATGAGAAGATGCAAGAAGACACTGCGTTGTTCGAAGGCGTCTCAAGTGTAATTTAACTGATGAAATCTGCATCAAACACTCTGCATCATCATCTTAAATTAGGGCAAGAAGACACATCAGCCCCTGTTTCTATCAGTAACAACCACATTGTGAACACAGGTGTCCATGTCGGACACAGTAGTCGTCTTTTTCCACTGTAAATAAAGTACACCTTTTAACAGTTCTGGTGTTTATCCCAGTTCTCCCTGCTGCCCGCTGCCCTCTTCTGCTGAGGGGAAGCATCCTGCTAGCTCATTGGTCAGGGTGTACTCCTTTCCTCCCCAGAGAAACTTTGTGGGCTGTCCTGATTGGCCCTGCTCTGGAGCATAAACAAAGGATGGGCTGAGCTCGATGGCCAGAGCCGACCGAACCAGGCCAACCGCCCCCGAGCGCTCCGAGCAGGGGTGATACACTCGACCGCTGACGGGATGCATGTACAGAGCCTCAGGGCGGAACGGGACAGACAGCTTCTCCGCCCCGCCGCAGTACGACAGCTGCTCCTGGTCTCCCGTGATCCCCTGAGGCCCTGCAGGGGTCTGCAGCAAGTGGGTGAAGACCACAGGTCGGTCGTCGCAGCGCAGGAAGTTCCTCTCCCTCCCGCACAGGGACAGGAAGGGGAAGTCTTCCTCATACCGCCCGCTCTGATTTGAACGCAGACGACTGAAGAAGAAGACCAGGAACTGTTTATCTGATGGATACAGAAACATCAATGACAGCTGCTTGAAAAAGATCTCCAGATTGATGGAACACATGGATTTAACAGTGGATTCACAATTAAAACTTGCAGTCAGATCTCTGCAGTCAGAGCTCTTGAAAGTGATCCGGATTTAAGTTCAGCACCATATTTTAGGGGGTGCTGCTCCCAGATAGATTTCTTGTCTTTTCTTTTGTTTGTACCCATGTGTTATTTGTATTTGTGTAGTTTTGTGGGCCAGAGGTGCCTTTAATAAACTATTATTTTCATTATTATTATTATATATGTCTATGTGTGATTTTACATACATATGGGATCAGGATACAGAGTAAGTGTCTGAAAATCTTTTCATTGTTATATTGATTCCAACCACATCACTCAGCTGCAGGTACAGTACACTTATCATTAGGAGTAAATTTACTTACATACAGATTACTGTAAGTGTTGCTACATACTTAGTTTGTAAGAACAAAAACAAGCATGAAAAATTGACAGGGTTATTGGAACAAGAAATGCACCTGTTTTTTTACAAAAGACTTATTGATTTTTCATCTGGGCACCAAAGACAAAGACAGACGGGGGATGTTTCTCCAGCTAAGCACAAAGAATTCAAGCAGAAAACAGCCAAGTTTTCTCTACTACAACAACAACAACAACAACATCAATAACAACAACTGTTTGTAGTTATTGTTTTATTTATTAACCATCATCAACTTGATCATGTCCTCATGGTGAGGCTGTAAACAAACAGATCGAAAAATCACACTTTATCCTCTCTCGTGCTATTTTTCACACATAATGGTAATGATATGGTATCTAATTATTAGCTTGCTGTAATATTAAATTCATGTCTTTGGTACTGATTTTGTGTTTGTGTGTTGACTGTATGTTGGTTTCAATAATAGCTGATGACCTGACAACTGATTTGATGGCAAAACAAGAACACTTCTCAAAACTGTGAAGACTCTTCTTCTGGGTTGTTCTGACGACTTTGGTAAAATAAGTGTGTGTTGTGTTTGTGCTCATTTATACCTTTGAAGCAGGTGACAAAGTTCTTCACTTTAGTGTCGTCGAGGAACAGCTGGAAATAGAGCACACATTAACATATCAGTGAAGCTGGAATGAGAATCTAAATTTTATGTTTGAAGGTTTTGTTTGGTGTCGGTTCAAACACTCACCTGTCCTTGGTGGTCGATATAGTAGAAGTACTCTCGGATTCGTGGTTCGGGGCTCTGGCCCTGGATGTATGTAACGGTGTTTCTCGAGGCGATGTATCCGGCGGGCAGGCAGCGCAGAGCGGTCAATCCTCTGCAGTTGAGAGCCGCAGTCCGGAGGAACAACATGACCGGACAGGACCACGCACAGGGCAAAAACGTTCAGGAGTAAACACGGAAACAGCGAGGACGGGGTGTCGGAATGACAACCAGTGTGTTAACCGAATAAGTTATACAACTCAAGCGTTGTCCTCATATTATTGTTTACAGATGCAGGCATAACCCGGAAGAGTTGATTACAGCTGGAGCTGTAACCCGGAACAGTTTCACTGTTGCAACATCATCAGCTTTTGACTGTTGCCGCCTGCTGGACACTTAATACAGTACAGATTCAATGCAACATTATATCAAAGGCCAAATACAGTAAAACAAAAATAATTATAACGAAAAAGTTCAGGGTTTATACGCAAAGATTATCATATAAACATTTTTAAAAACCTACGTTCGTCTTATTTTGTTTTAATCAAGTAGGCACGATAGTAAAGATACTAAAGACTTCTGTGCTTAAATGAAGCAGTGTGCCTTGATTCTTACCCTTTCTTATCAACAAAATTCATTAGACTTTTTTTTGCATTTCTATGTCACAATATTATATCACATGTTGAATATGCAATGAAACTATCACTAACTTGATCAAAAATAATAAAATCAATAATTAAACTACTACCAAAAAAATCAAAAATTATAAAAAGATGAAAAACAATTATCTCTTCCAAACAAAAAACACCAAGTGAGTCAGTAAGTGTTTCCTTAAAAGGAGTTAGAGTTGTGGGGGAAGGGGTAAGGATGCAGTATTTGTGGGGAATCCACTTTGGAAGAAAAAGAACTCATAAGAATTAGCCTGAGGGGTTGAGTCTATTTTTAGAGTTAATTACTGTTTTTATATATCTGCTGTTTAAAGGTTTACCAAACATAACTCCACAGGGTCCCTTTTAACCTCTCCTTTATTACTAAGGTGACATTTTATTAACTTTACACATCCACTTTCTTAAACCAGAGAATTGAAGTGCTTGTGCAATTTATGAGATGGAGTCTCAAAAGACTGTTGTTTTTGGATGTTGTTACGTTACCCACATTCCTCCCTGTACATACATACAGCCCATCCTTACTACAATCCTGGAAGTTGGGATGACTGTTTGAAGCCTATTTCTTAAAACTATGTATGAATTAATGACATCAACCACAGTGAATGTGGAGGGAGCTCTTTTCCAGTGTAATACAGTAATTAAAAAAAAAAAAAAAGTCAAACTGCCAAAAGAAAGAAAACAAAACAGAATACTCTCTGCTGCTGAAGTAAGAATTTTTTTTTTGTCAACCTTGAAACTACCTAAGGAGAAATGACAGGGAATCCAACCAACAGTCCAAAACCAAAAGCTACTCATTCTACAATCAGATATCACAGTGGAAAGCATCAAATCATCACATTGGAGAAGCTGTAACCAATACCAATATCAAAAGAGCTGCAGATCATTTTTTTGTTGATTGAATTAACGATGAATCGATTAATTTTACCAGCTCTTGGTTTGTTGCCTGAATGTCAAAGGCCTGTTCAGCAAGCCACTGACTCAAAAAATATGAATTCCTGAGCCATAAACAGTGTAAGTGGCCTACATATTGCACAACTTGGCATGTGTGACACTAATAAATTCCAAGCAGAGAGCAATATATTACTGAGCTGAGAACACAACAGGGCTCTTCAGGGAGCTTCATGTAAATCTCTGTGCTGATAAAAGAGGCGGATAAACAACAACATTCCTCTGTGACACTGCTGCTCATATTAAAAGGCCAACACCCCCCAAAACACAGTGTAAACAGAGGCTTCTTTGGCGCCTCTGACGGGACTGACCATCGTCTGAATCAGCCGCCTAACACACAAAGCCGCTGATTCAGACGAGCTGGTAATGACTTGAACTTCGTCCAAAGAAAAACTCTCCAACTGTGAGCGCACAGAGCATTTCCACCTACCTGTAGGTTCCGTTTCCGCCTCATCTTCCTTTTCCAGGTTTGGGCGGAGTCGTTTCTACCTGATCGAGACAGGTGGGTGATTTAAGGATTAAATAATGGCGTTATAGTCGGACTTTAGCGCGCGTTCATCGACTTCACAGTAAGTTTGATTTTCATAGTTAACGGACGAAGTTTTGAGCTGTTTAAACTGGCAAAAGCGTCGTACGAACTACGAAGCGTTGTTGTTGTCTAGTCGGTTTGTTTTGAAGCGACTAACCTGCTCCACGGCGGTTACATGAAGTTTAAAACTCAAAAAACTCAGCTCACACTTAAGAAAAGTCTCGGTTTAGTTGGTTTTTCTACTATAAATAGTCATTGTTCATGGCCTTATAACGTCCCTTGTAGTATGTTTACGTTTTCTTAACGTTCTTGGGTGTTCTGATGTAGGCTACATCAACGGTCGCTAATTCTTTTTTTATTTATTTATTTATTTATTTAAAAGAAGCCTATTTTCTGTGCTTTATTTGAAAATAACGTTTAAATAAGGTAAAAAATAATAAATAAAATGCCTCAATTTTGACGTGTGTTGAACCGTGGTTTCCTTGTTTAGTAACTGACAGTTTTTATGATGTTCAAAGGTTGTTTCTGTGTCCTAAGGTATCGCTTTCGGTCAGCAGGTATGAGTCGTCCGCCCCGTTCAAACCGGGGACACCGGGAGAGAAACGGAGACCACCGACAATACCGGGACTCCCACGATGATAGACGTTCATCACCAGACAGGTGAGCTCAGTATACTGCAACAGTGTACATTTACTCATGTACTGTATTCAAGTATATATTTTAAATACTTGTGCTGTTTGTTGCTGAACTATTTGTGATAGTGTAGCAAAATAAATGATGAAATAAACAAACATCATAATCTGTTGTCGCTTATTTAACTAATATGGCGCTCATATAACTGTAGTATAAAAGCAATATCACATGACAGGTTGTGATGTTGTCCTGAATATCAGCACTGCTGCATCAGATTTATCTGGTGACCCTTTGAAGATGCCTGACCTCTAGGTTAGGAAACACTGGACTAAACTACCTGTGTCCTGAGTTCATATATGAATGGATGAAAGGACACATTTTTCTTTTCCTACTTTCTGTTAATGCAGGTTTAAACTCTTTTTTGTTTCTTTTTAAAATGATTTTATTGTAGATAAATATTCAGTATCTTCTCAAACAGGAGGTCAGACAGGTACTGGGGTGCGAGATCATGGAGGGATTTGAAGGTGAGGGAGAGGATTTTGGCTTTGACTGGAAGCCAGTGAAGTTGGATGAGGGTGGGGGTGATGTGCTGCCAGGGCTTGGTGCGGGTGAGAACCCTGGCAGCTGAGTTCTGGACATACAGTACTTGTCAACTAAAGTTGAGATTTAAGTTCATTATTGTTTTTGGGAAGAGTAGTCAACAAAACCGTCTCACAAGGTCTATTTACAGTAGTTGCTGCTCTGAAGCTTTTGACTGTAACACGTGATATTCCTCAGGAGATGGAGTTTTCCCAGTTGTCATGGAATTGAGTAGGTTCAAATTTCCATGTTGTTTTGTTAACTGTTGTTTCCAAAGTCAAGGTTAAATTTCGTCTCAACATTGAAGCCAATATGTGTGACGAGTCAAGAAAGTACTTGAAGTTATGTGTAATGTTAATGTGTTTTTTACTATTGTACTCAAAATAAAACAAAACATGAGGAAGGCTCATTATTTATTTATATGAGTCCAAACTTTACTAGAATAAAAACTAAAAATAGAAAAAAAACATGGAAAATGTTCAGCTCTTCAGCAGCACAAGTGCCCATATTGACATTTCTTACACATATGCATTTGTTGTTATGTGCCTAAGGTCTTCCTCTCCGCCCCCGTACTACCCCAGGGAAGCCGATTCCCCTCCCAAACATGTGCGGGACGTCCCGCGAGTGGAGCACCACGACTCCAAATGCACACACATCTGCTCCAGGAGAGGTAAGTCAGCATTAGAATAGAAGTATCTGTGTTGAATAAAATGAAAGCTCCTCAAACAGGAGCTGTTGCGTCAGAGGGCAGACTCTGGTTTCAGTGCAGTTCATTTCCTCCTCCTCCTCTTATGAATACTGGACAGACTGGTTTTCCAGTGTTTAACAACCGCATTTCTCAGAGTTTAGACCTCAGCAGAGTAACATGACCTGTTGATGAGGGAGAACACCTGAGTCTAATAGTTTAATGACATGCTCTTGATGAGTTCCATGTACCTTTTTCATAACCTATGTGAGGATTTCCTGTATTAATCTTATTCCAGATTTTATTTAAAGATCCCATATTTTGTCCTCTCTTTTGTTTTATTTGAAGTGTTAATCCATAAGAAGATATATTTGTAGTTTTAAGAACCAAAAACAATCTCTCAGGCTTCTCTCTGGAGCTCTATTAACAACAGGTCGGTGAGCTCAGAGTCTCCTCTCTTCAGATTGGCTGACTGTTTTTTGAGTGATCCAATAAAAATAGAGCAGATTTCAGGTAAAACACTCAGAGAAACCAAATCTTTCAAGGTTGGATGGTGGGTCCAGGTGGGGGGGGGGGGGGGGGGGGGGGGGGGGGGTATGGCTGAGGTATGGCTGAGAGCAGTGACTGCTTTGTTGTGACATCACAAAGTTCCAGAAGTCCTGACGGCTGGTTTTAAGGCTCAGTTTCTGAATACAGGCTGTGTGCATGTCTCTGTGGACTGAGCGCTTTGATACTTTCACTGTATTAATATAGAACCTAGACCTGCTTTACAATCAAACAACACATGGACATCTGCCTCTATACTATATGGGGCCATTAAATATTCAGGACCAGTTGGTCTCAAGTTGAGCTTCCGGTCCCTTAGGGTCTAAGGTCTCTGTTACAGTCGAACATCATTCTTGAAAGGTTTTCTTTTCAAATCTGTAGACGGTCAAATATAGCGCTGCAAATTATTATTATTTTCATCATTGGTTAATCAGCTCGTTATTTTGTCTATAAAATGTCAGAGGATTGAAACCTGTCCACCACATTTTCCCATCAAACGTCTTGTTTTGTCAGGCCAACAGTCCAAAACCCAGATATATTCAGTTTACATTCACATAAGACAAAGAAAGGAAACCTTTAGCATCCAGATGTTGGCACTAAGTACTGAGCATTTTTACAATTATTAATTAATGATGAAATTATGGGAATCAGTTAATCAACTATTCATGTAGTCAAATGTTGCAACAGTTTAAGTCAGTCTTAATTCTTTAATTGACTTGAGTTCATAAAAGTACAGGAGGACATTTCATTCTTTTAAAAAAAATAAATAAATAAAATAAAAATAAATTTTATATTGATTAATTAGATTTTTTTTGAAAAAATATTGAAAAGATCTCTTTGTCTCATGCGTCAACTCTCTCCCCAGGTATCGTGCTGATCTGCTCTGTACTGACCAACGCCCTGGTCCTGATCTGTGTGGTGGCGGCTCAGATGGTGTCAACAGGCCTGTCCTCAGCCTCCGCGCTGGGCGGCTTCAACATCAACTCCAACTTTAACCTGCAGGGCACTGAGCTGCAGAAGGCACGAGAGCTGGACATGCAGTACAGCCAGATGAGAGCGCCGGGGATCTACGGCGGCCTCTCCTTCAGCCTGACCTTCGGGGTCATCTCGCTGCTGTTTGTGGTCGCCGGGAATAAACCCCCCCACCTGATGTCGAGGAAGCTTCTGGTGGGGGCGTTGTTGTTTCAGGCGGTGGGCGCGGTGGCGTACGTGGTGGCTGTCGGTCTCTACCTGCACTTCATCATCAGTGTCAACGCCACAGAAGTTTGCCAGCAGCGGGAGAGGCTGTACGCACGCAGCGGCTACACCTGGATGAACTGCGACGTGGGCGGGGCGGACGCAGCCGTGGCTCTGTTTGGGCTCATCACGGCCATCCTGTACACCGCCGGCACGGTGCTCACGATCCAGACCGTCCGCCGAGTGAAGCGCTACCTGCAGGAGCGAAAACGCAGAGAGGCAGAGAGGCAGCGGCACCGAACCCAACCGCAGAGGGCCCCGCAGAGGGCTGAGACCAGCTCTGTGTGAGGGACGTCTGGAGACTGTATCATGAAGCGACCCAACATGTTTGGGTTTAAGTCAGGTATCATGATGCCTGCTCACTTTTAACTGAGGTAGATCTCCATGGAAACCTGTTGCACAACTCACCTGCTCTGATGCCGGTTCAGAGCATCAGGTCAAGATGTGTCAACAAACGGACTACTGGATAAAATACTTCCTGTATCGCTACTGGTTCTCACCATGGACAAATGTAACAGAATATAGATATATTTTTATAGGTTTTAATCACTGCAGAGTCTTTGAAAAGTCACGGCAAGATTTTCTTTTTTCTTTTTGAACTACTTTTGTGTTCCCTCACATTGAGTTTACAATCCCTTGCCATACATTTTTCATTCTTTCTCATCCATAGAGGAAGGTTCAGTTCTGACAGCTGCATAATATATTTTAATTACAGCCCCTGGTTGTTTGTATCATAGCAGCTAATGTTAAGACAACTAGTGGAGGCTACATAGTTCTCTAAACTTTATTAATAATGCAAATGAACAATAATATGGAGCGTTGTGGTGAAGCTATTCTTGAACTTCTGTTGTGATAGAAGCTCAGGTCATGAAGCCTTATGATGCTCTCTTATGGAAGACCAGAGATGTCACAGGAAAAGTAATTAAGCATTTCCTTAATTTCATATTTTAAGAGGCATTAGAAATAGGAAATTTATAAATGAACGATTAATCCATCAATAAATACTTAAGATTTCATTATAAAACACTCATTAAATAAACCATGTAGAAATAGATTTATTAATTCATGAGTAAACAATAGAATTTGAAAAACTATTTGAAAAGGCATGTTAAAAATGGGAATAAATAACAGGATTCCCTCTTCAAGAATTTATAAATGAATTATTAATCCATCAATAAATGATTAAGATTTAAAAATGGATTTATAAAAACCAACTGGTTAACTCTCCAACTTGTTGAGCTTGTTACATCCCATGGCCAGTTGGGATTGTTTAGCCTGGTTTTACCAGCACTGAAGGCCCAAAGTGTCACAGACGTTTTTCAAATTCTATTGTTTATTCATGAATTAAAAAATGTATTTATACATTTATTTAATGAGAGTTTTATACTGTTTTTGTAAATCTGAAGTATTTATTGATGGATTAATCGTTCATTAATTATTTTTACAATTCCTCTTTTTAATGCCTTTTTAAAAATGCGTTAAAATATGATTAAGGAAATGCTTTATTACTTTTCCTGTGACATCCCTGGTCCTCTACACTTTCTCAGCTATTGTCTGTACATGAGCAGCTAGCCACAGAGCAGCTTATCCGTAGCAAAAGCTATAGAAACAGCTGCAGCTGTAGTCCAGCTTATATCGACAGTTCCACAGCTTCAGCCATAGCTGAGCCTACAACCCAGATAACCAGCTCCAGCTGTGGTTACAGTGGCTGCTCTGCCTTTCTCTGTGGATCAGGAGGAACATAAAGACGTATCGCTAAAATAGATCCACAAAAATCCCACTGTGGCCTTTCAGGGGTTTGTACACCATGATAATGTTGTCAAATACAGATTTCTTTTTCTTTCTTTTTTTTTTTTTTTTGCACAAACCATCGGCCCACACTAGGATTAAAACAGGAATTAAAACAGATATAGTTTACATCACTGACACCCTAATAATGAATGAGGGTGAAAGCTGCCTATTATTTTCAGTAAGTTTCCTTCAGTCCTCACAGTGCAAATGCTTTTAACTTCTGGTGTAAGCTTTTTAAATTCAATGATAACTGTAAATAAAAAGTAATTATTGATTATGCAGATTGTATTTTCCTCTCTGTTGTTTTCAAGTATCAGATTCTGCTTGTGCGATTTTATTGTTTATATTTGACCTCTGACTTTTTGCTGCTGCAGTAACTAATTTTCCTGAGGACACCACAGTTTTTGATGATTGTCTCGTGGGGGGATCAGTAAAAACCAGAGTGTTGTTCAGGATCATTAATAGGTGGTGCAGGGAAAACCAGATTAAGTGCTTTGTGATACAGTCCCACTCCTGTGAGTTTATATGTTGGATTAGACTGTGTGCACTCAGAGGGATTTAAATGTTTGTAACTTGTCTGCTTGTATGTTTTTTTATATCAGACTTTATAATGTTTTTAATACTGTAACTCAGCCATTCAACTTGTTTTGAAGATTTTATCTCCTCAGATTAAATATGACTGTTCAACACATCACGTTTTTGATAACAGTAGCCTACAGGGGGCCCCAGAGGTCTGTGCTCCCGCCCTCCGTCCCCTCCAGAGGCTTCCTGCCAACCATGACATTGCCGCTGTGTGTCCCTGCTCTCTGCTGTCACACAATGGACCACACGCACAAAGGACACAGTTGCAGTGATGTAACTGTTGGTCTGTTCAGTCAAGACTTAATTAGTAACAAAAGAAATCCTCCAGAGTGAGGTAATTACCCGAGATCTAATTTTACCATTTCACATTAACACAATGCAGCGATTGTATCGCAGCAGCACAAACACGGCAACGTGACGAGCTGAGTTTTGTCGCTTGTTGTTGTGCCGCTCTTAACCCTGTACATTTTGTTTTTTAAGATCTTTAAAAGAGCCAGTTCACTCAAATTACAAAACCATTTTAGTGTTCTGGGTTTCTGCCGCCAACACAAGTGAAAAAGAGATGACTGGAAAAAGGCTACAACTAGTAATTATTTTAATTTTCAATTGATCTAGAGCTGAAATGTTCTATTAATTACTTTTTTTCGAGAAAAACCACCAAACATGTTTTTTTTCTACCTTCTCAGTTATGAAGATTTGTTGCTTTTGTTTGTCGTATGTCAGTAAATTGACAGTTTTGGGGATTGAGTGGTTGGTTGGATACAAAAAGCACTTGTTCGGCACTTTTATGTATCAAATAGTGAATTGAGAAAATAATTGGTTGAGAAATTTCATGAAATTAATTATTTTTAGCCCTAGATTAATAATGTGGTAGGTAAAATGTCACAAAACTAAAATAAAAAACTAAATAATCCCATCAGAATTTCCTAAGATTTAAGGTGACATCTCTCAAATTGCTTGTTTTGTCCGACCAACAGTCCCGGAAAAAAATTCAGATTACAAAGATATAAAATATAGAGAGGCTGAACATACTCACATTATGGAAGAAAATTTTAGTTTTTTGTCTCGGAAAATGATTTAAATTTGAATTAATAGTTGTTGAAAATCCATTTTCTCAACAAATGGTTTCAGCTCTAGAAGAGAATTTAGATTTTTGTACTAAAATGGAAAAAAAATTAGGAACTTGATGGAAACTTTGAGGAGCAAATATCTAAAAAACTTACAAAATCCAAACTATCTGCATGAGGGTCACGTGTCTTTTTGTAAGCTGTGTGAACTTTGAGAAAAAGAAGACAACATGTTGTAGTTATCTGAAAACTTTAATTTATTATATAGCAAAAGTAGCTCTCTTGTGCGATTTGCCGATGTCAACAAGTTCTGTAACACTGTTCTGAGAACATTTATTGAGCTGGTAATAACTGTCGGATCCGTCCTGATCAGCGTTTCCTCACCACCACAGCACCACTCTGAACTCTGCACACCCCCGAGAACACAAACCTGGAATATCAGCCGTCTGAAATAATCATCTTTTCTCTCAGAGAATATTAGTACGCTTCAGTGACTAGGTCACTTTAAAGTATTAAACTCCTAGGAGTTAGTTATACAGTTTTACTAACTCCGACAACTGTAAGGCCGTCGGCCGTGACACACAGGGGAAATGTCTGCTACGACACAAAAAACAGGATGGTCCAAATCTCAAAGTACCGTTGAAACACAGAATTAATCTCCAAAGTCTAATACAAAGCATTCAAAGTGCTTCTTCAAATTAAAGATATGGTAAAACTCAATTACATGTGAAGATTTAATCAACATAATGTGTTATAAAAATTGCATTGCATTTCAAGGGGCATAGAGTTAACAGTAGAAAATAAAGGAAATAACAAAAACCATAATGAAACAGTCTCTGGTCCAGAAGTGTGTTCAGGAAACTCTGAGGTGTTTGGAGGGAGCGGTACAAATGAACGCAGAGCCGAGCATCGGGACAGGAAGTCCTGATTCCACTCACCAAATCTGAAATCCTGGATGAGAAACCAGCTGTTTTGTGGAGGGGGGGCAGGAGTTAGAGGGGTGTGATGAAATAGTCCGCAGGTTTCTGGTAGCTGTGTGTTTGCTGGTTGTGAGTCTGCATCTGCTCCTGCTGCTGCTGGATGATCTGCCGGACTTCCTCCTCCAGCTCTGGCGGGATGATGAGCTGGTCGTCGGGGTCTGGCTGGGCGGGGGCGTTGAAGTAGCCCCCCTGCTTCCTGACAGGGGCGTCGGCTGCCTCCTCTATGAGGTCCTGGTTCCTCCCCTGGCAGGCGATGGAGCCGTTAGCTCGAGCCCTGCGGCCCAGAGTCCCTGACCGGGTCTCTCCGCTGAGGCAGGGAGAGGAGGGAGGGACGGGGGAGGGAGACTGGGAAGAGAAGGGAGGGGGTGACGGCTCATGATTTGAGGCGACAGCGAGGGAGATGTTTGTGCTTGGCTGAGCGTGTAACTGGGGCGCTGGGCAGTCGTGGCGGTGCAGACAGTGGACGTCAGCCTCCACCTCCACGCGGCTGCCGTTGGAGAAGACGCCGGCGATGGGCTCCTCATCCTCACTGTCCAGCCCGTTGTCAGACAGAGCTCCAGAGAACTGCCTCTGGAAGCTCCCTCCCCCACACGCAGGTCTCCGCACGCCGACTCGTCCCGGCAGGTTGAGGTGGGACGCCAGGGGCTCGGCCTGAGGCGGTGGCTCCTCTGATGACGCTGTGGACCCCACCTCGCTGCTCATTTCAGACGTGCTGAACTCACTGCTCAGCTCGCTCACTGTTCCCGAGGAGACCGGTGGCACCGGTATACCGCCGTCACTGCCTGCTGAGTAATGGTGTGTGCTGGTGTGTACACCCAGGCCGGGGCTGGGGGGTGGGGGCGGCGGCTCGCAGAAGCAGCAGCAGTCCTCGGTGATGCTGAGCTGGACGACGACGGCGCTGAGGCTGTCGGAGCAGCCGTAGCTCTGAGCCAGAGTCACCAGCTTCTTAGCAGCAGCCAGAGCGTCGGGTACATTCCTGACCGCCTCCACTGCCTCGCTGGGACACAACATGTCCCACAATCCCCGGCTGCCCAGGAGAAAGAACTCATCCTGAGGGGTGAGCGTCACCGTGGAGACATGGGGTTGAGGCGTCACAGACGGGCACAGGAAGGAGTAACCCATAATTCTGGTGGAGTCAGTTACACCGCTGACCTTGTTATCCTGCACAGAAGAAGAAGAAGAAGAAGAAAGAGAAAGAAGAAGGAGTTATGTAATTTTTCTCTCTTTACACTGAGGCTACAACAAATAATGTTTGTTACCAGTTAATCTGTTACAGTTGACAGAGGATTCATTTTAATAATCAATTAATTATCTCTATCATTTCTAAAAAGTCATCATTTTTAGAAATTAGTGGATGAAATTTCCAAAAAATTGTAAAAAATATTCTCACGACTTCAGATTGATTGTTTTGTTCAACTGACAAAACCCAAACATTTCAGTTTATAATGATATAAAACAGAGAAGAGCCACAAAACCTCAGATTAATGAATCACTTTTTTATCTACTTGCTGTGGACCGACTCTACAACATGAGCGCACACAGTCTGTC